CAGCAGCAGCAGCAGCAGCAGCAGCAACAGCAGCAGCAACAACAACAACAGCAACATCAACAGTTTGTGGCGTCTCAACGGGCGCAGTTTTCGATTAATCGAGGCTCACCCTCCTTCCAGGTATCGCAAGAAATCATGGACACGAGTCCAGACGTCCACCTACAAATGCAGTTTATGTCTGCGCAACAACAACAACAACAACAGAACCTAGAGCGACAACAACAACAACACCAGATGATGATGATGAATAAACGTAACCTCTCACAGGATGGTGGCGAAGCGATGTTGTCTGCAATGAACGAATGTGGCAAGCCCCAAGTGGCGCGAACTATGACGATGCCTCCACTTCAGCAACCACAACATGTGCCTCAGCAACCTGTTTCAATGGCTGGCCAATGGAATCCGCAGTCTCAGTCCAAAATGGTGGCGAGGCCTTCTGCTTCTCCACAGGGCCAAGTCATAGGTTCCATGGTCACGCAGCACCAACAACAAATAGCTCCTTCACACAATGCGGTCTCTCAGGAGGATTTGCGAATGATGCAACAAATACAGTCTACAAATCGTCAGAAGGCAGGACCTCCGCTAGAGGTAAGTCATTTCTGGCTCCATTTTCACACCCTTTTGCGAACTGCGATTTTTCTGTGTAACTTTGTTGGGTTAAAGCTAAAATTATCCTGATAAATTATCCTTTGTGGACGCATTCCCAAAGTAAAGTGCAAGTAACTCGCGCTGATAGCTCGTCCAATATTGGCTACTGTCATCCACTGTATAATCAGCACTATAGATCAGTTTTAAAGAAGTGCTGCAAACCCAGACAAAGCCTCTTTTGTAAATGGTTATTTGACCACTTTATTTATTTATTTATTTTTATTTATTTCCCTAGCGCTTCTACTACCAATTCACAACGAATAGTTTAAGTTTCACAAGTTCCCTCCTATTATTGCTAGTTTGTTGACCATAATTCAGGGCGGTTAATACGTTTAAAGGAATTACGCCGCCTGTCTGTGAACTAATGACCTCTCACACGTCACGAGTGGAAGCCCATTACGGATACTGAAACTTGTCGGCATTATTTATCCATCTATACACCTATTTTGTAGAAGTCTTGGATTTTGATGATTATTTTGTTGACTACGTAAGCCGCCTGCATTTTAACTATTATGCACTGATCAACCTCAGCCTACAGCCGTTAAACAAGATCTGAACGGTTTTATTCTGACAAACAGCAGGCATTGACTTGATACTGCATTTCATTCGCTTATTCATGCCGGATACTTTATGCGCCGTGTTTCCT